CAAAGATAGGATGATATTTACAATTCAAGATAAGCATGTTTCAATAAAATAAATCTCGTTATTTTATCAAAATATAGGTTAATAAGATCACGCCGACAATTTAAGATGCTCGAGATAAATTTAAATATTGAAAGTAATATTTAATTTCTTGCCGTAATTGTCACTCTTCTTGGAAGCAAATATCTAGATATAAATTTATCAGAGCAAGATTACACCAGTTTGAATTCGTTAATATTTTAATGTCTGAAATTTCGTTTTTCTACAAAGTATACCGTACGAAACACTACAATGCAAATAATTTACAATAGGAATCCAGGCAAACATGCACAATTTAATTTCCATCTCCATGTGCAGAAAATGACTCATATATATTCTCTCTCACATCGCCTACACGCGCGCGATATCTTGATCGTGCGTGACACTAACAATAAATAAAAAAAGCTAGCTAGCTGGATTTGACGTTCTTACTGTCAATCGTACGTAGGTGCGCCGAATGTCTGTTACTCGCAGACGAGTGCTTACGATGTTCGTGACATCCTAGCCACGATTAACATATTAATGTTATGGTAACGGATGCTTCTCGTGCGATTCTTCGAATGCATCTCTCGTTTGAAAAAAACTCTTCAAGTAACGAGCGAGAAAACCACTGATTGACGTGAAATACACGCGTATAAATCGTCGCGATAAACGATTCTTATTTATTAGATAATGATGGATAAAAAGATGCTTATCACAGCTTCATTAAAATTTAGAACTGTCTTGAAATTGTGTCACGAAAAATATATTAAACTTACACAGATATTTTCGGTTAAACAAAGCTTCTGATTTTTGGTATATTGTTTATTTTTATTTAAAAAGATATATTCGAAAATATATTATTTCATCTTTATCACGAAAGATACTTGGACGCACGAGAATTTTAAATATTTATATCGCAAATATTTTTACTGTTCCAAAATCTTGACGATTTAATCTGTATATATCAGTATCTAGTGCAACATTATTTTTACAAACATATTTTACGCCAAGATTAAAATAAAAAAGAATTTTTAAGACTCACCGGTATGATGTGTGAGGCAGCAGGAATTGTAGTACACAAATGTTAAACACAAGTTATAGATATTTAATCTGTAACAGAAAAATATACACAAATTATAAAGCAGTGTAAAAATAATTCAAATTTATTCAAAAAGTAAGTATAACTGAACTTGTTATTCAGATATTTAATAATGAAAAACTACACAGTGTTTGCGGGAGAAAAAAGAATTAAATATAAAAATTTAAACATAAAATTTTATGAAATTTTTATTTTATGAAGTTATAAATGCGCTTACCTGATGGTTGTTCCGCCATTATTCGACGTGGCTCTCGGGGCTCCTCCTCCTCTCTGATTCCTTTCATGTCACTCGCGACACATTCGCGAAAACAAAATAATTAACTACGATCGCGCGGCACTTTTCACGGCACTCCCGATATATGCGTATATATTTATAATTCATATTCGCGGAAATTAAACTTTTTTGAATAACTTTATTTTAATGTTACGCGCATGAAACTACGATTCCATAAAGTTTTCACGATGATTGTTACAAATGTTCGCATTATGGGTAGTACATATATTACTTTCCGTATGCGACGATCGCCCGACACTACTTTTTTCGACACTCCCGAAGAGAGATATACACTAGATATACTTGCTTACAGACATTTAGTTTTAGTAATTTAAAGTTATATAATTCAGATGTGATGAAATGGCAAACGATTTCTATCAATAATTGACTGTAATTCCTTTGATACTCACGATCGCGATTTTATCCGCACTGTAAGCGACGCCATGAACTTTTACCCGCACAAACGAGGCAACTAAACCTAACTTCTGACGAATCATCTTCCACTATCACTCATTAGTACCAACTGTGACATGTTAATTTTTCGAACGCTAGTTATTTTTATTGACGTGATAATAACACCCATGCAAAAAAACGTAACATTAATACATGTATATATTAAATATAGAACGCGAATATCATAAAATAGTTTTTATTACTAATTATTCCTAAGCTTTAATATATATATTTATACTTTAATATATTTATTACTTTAATATATTTATTACTTATATCTTTTAACACACACACGCACATACAATACACAATATTATATAGATTGTGTAAGTAACGCATGACACTAGCGACAGGTGTTAATTTCGCGATAATCGGGACGATACTGCGTCAAAAACTATGTATTTAGAAAAATATACATGAAAGAACGCGTGAGAAGGAGAGGGGGAAATGTTCGGAGTCTAGGCCGAGCGCTTTGTTTACAATTCACAGTGACGTCATATACCTGCTAATTCTTTCGAAGACAAGGGGAGGTAAGCCGTAAGAGGAAGGAAAGGGAGAAATTTTCAGTCTAGCCCAAACGCTTTATTTACACACACACACACACACACACACACACACACACACACACACACAATATCATTGTGGCGTAAATACAATTGCTAATCTCGAAATATGCTGACATAAATTAATACATTAAATATGTGATAATTGAAAAAGGTAAATTCTCTCTCTCTCTCTCTCTCAAACTTTTCATAAAATTGGAGAAACGTCTTTTTCTTTAAGAATGTTTCTGTCCTCTTTAAGTACATACTTATCTTTTCCTAGAAAAAAGCAACCTTCCTTCTATCTTACCTCGTTTCACAGAATTACCATGTTCGATGTATTATTTTATGCACTACATTTTTAAACGGATTAGTATTTGTACTCGCGCTACTATACATATAGTAAAAACGCCGGGCTCGCTTCCGAGAATCTCCTCGCGTTACATGCGGCACACTCGCATTTTTCAGTTTCTCGCTTAGTACTGTCTCGACTATCGCGAGGGTTAGACCGAGTTTTTCGCGTTTCTCATCGATGTTATATCCGAACGCGTTATTCACATCTATAATACAGCATCAAGAATGATAAATCAATTACCTGACAAACAGAGCAACTCATGTGTTAATGATTTGTGATAAAAGTTAATAATCGTGTTTTATATTCGGCATGTGCGTATGTTTAATAGAAATTCCCGCTCAAACGATTCATATAATGAGCTATATTCAAGTGTAAAATCTGAACGATGCAATCAGCCTATCAGAATCGGCGAATATGATGGTTGTCTATGTTTCGCACTCGTCTATGGTAGTCGTACATCGCGTCCGATAATGCGTCGTCGGAACATCGATTACAGTGCGGATTTAATCGTGTCCGAATATCGTGAGTGGTGAAAAAAAGTATCATCGTCATTATCAGTGCATCATCATAATCAATGCTGCGATTGCTGTACGATTTATTATCTTGACACGGTACGATTTATGATCATAAAATCTTGTCTCATCTCGCGCATAACCTATCTAACGGTAACTCTACTCAGTAATCGTTTTTAAGTTACTGAGAGTAAAAATTGTCTAGGGGGGTAAAGATCTTCTATGAATAAGTGTTTAGTATCGAAAATATCGAGAAAAGTATCTGAGAATTGTCGTATTATGTGTTAGATAGTATATTTCGTCGATTGTGAAAATGCGACAATTTTCTATGAAGTGAACTTCGCACGAATTCGTAATCTTGAAGCATTGCGTGTTAAAGTTTAAATTATAGAAATAATCTTTACGTCTCAAAATGTGTAATATTTTGAAAGATTTCATAAAGTTTCTTTAATCGCGGTTAAATTTACGCTCTACGCACCGCGACAATACTAAAATTTTTATTGCAAATGGTATATATATACGCGCGTATTTTAAAACAATTTTATTTTCTTTTTTTTATTTTCTTTGTTTTCCTTTTCTCTCTCTTCTTTTAGACACAAAGTAAGTAACAAAATATATAAATTAAAATAAAAAATAAATACCCGAAGAATGTTATATCCGCAAATTTATATAATTCTGCTAACTATTCGCGTAATACATTTTATAAATTACGCGTAAAATATTGCGCTTTAATTAATCGCCGATATAAACGTCAAATTTTTGCTATGCAATTGATGGATAAAAATATATATATATATATATATATATATATATATATACATTGTTTTAATTATTACTGTAATTAATTAATCGTTATTAATTAAACATGTCGCTCATTTATCATCTTACATACGTAATTTTGTCAGTGATGGAAAAATTAAAAAATCGGCAATACTTGTATCTTTAATACCGTGCGATATTATACGAGTAAGGTTAATAACTGGTTAAAGTGTGATGAATCGTTGTGCAAAAATATATACAATAATTGTAGGAAATACATAACGCATTAAATATCTCTTCGTATTTTTGTCGCATATTTAGAAAAATAAATGTGATATCGTACTATACTAGAATTGATAATAGCTAAGTAAAATACGGTTGATTGTTCGAAAAATATATAATAAAATCATAGGCAACAAATGTTTGACTTCCTACTTGTCATGCGATCGTAAATACAATAAAAAAAGTCGAGCGCCGAATTTTACGACGTTAAGCGCCTTATGTTTACATTCAGTCGCTTTGTTGTCATTCGGACGGCGGAACCCAAGTAGGCAACAGCGTGAATCGTTTCGTATCACGCAGTATCATTTTAGACGCGATCGGGACAACTATCGAACAAACAATTATATTCTTTATATATCTTAGCTTATGTATCATTTTTTTAAATTAGTTTAACATTAATTCTATATTCGTGTATATTTGTATCATAAAATTTCAAATTATTTTTTTAATTTTTCAATCATTAAAAAAACATTGCATGTGAAAGACAAATCGATTTTGCGACTTTAATTAAGTTTTATTCGTAAGCTATATTCATAGTTAACAATGTGTATTTTGATATTTTCGCGGCAATTTTTTTTGTATAATGAAAACATATTTTCGGGAATTAGATGCTTTGTGTATTTAGTTTTACTTTTTATTATCTTTAATCACTTATGTTATAACGCGAGATACAAAACATAAAATTGTCTTAAAATTGTCTTAAAATGGTCTTAAAATTAGCATATGTACATTCGTTAACAATGGAAATTTTCGCGGTAAATAATGTATGAATTTGTCTACGCGGTTTTGCATATAAGTATATCGAGTAGAATGACAATAATATTTGCCTGTCTATTGAAATATATAATAAAAAACGCGTCCATTTTCTCGGGAGTGCGCGTACGATTTTCGGGAGTGACGTACAAAGTGACACGATTGTAATAAAGTGCGTATATAAAATATTTGTCGCGAGTGTGAGTTCAAAAAAAAGATAAAGAGAAAAGGAGGAAGCTCAAGAAGGGCATCGGGCAACGATGAAGCAGCTTAAGGTGAGCAATTTATAATTTATTTTATTTTATTTTATTTGTTTATATTTTATTTGTTTATATTGCGTGTAATTTTATCGCGATTCAATTTTGATATTATTATATAACATTTACACAATATATTTATATAATACATTTAGATAATATATAATATTTACATTATATATATATTATATAATGTACATGTGTAAAGAATTGTATATCCTATATTTTATTTTAAAATATTTTATATAGTATGTCTAATAAAATTATTATTATATATTTAAAATTATTATTGATATTTTTTTATAGATACATAAAATTTCAATATTGTATTTGAAATTTATATATGTATTTATATAAACAAAAAAATAAATATAAATAAATTATTTAGATTATTTTTATATCAATAAATAAATTATTTATTGATATAAAAATATTAAATTTTTGTTTATTATATAAAAGTATATATCTAAAAGAAAAAATCTTTTATAAATTATGTAATATTTTATTAAATATCTACTTATAAATAAAAAAAATTTTAAAGCTAAGCACAATGCTAATATTTTGAAATTCTAAATTAAAGAAAGAATTGATAAATAAATATATACCGATATATCAAGGGACAGAAATTAGAATGGAAAAACGCAAAATTTAAAAAAAATTGATAAATATTATATAGCGAACTAACGTTCAAACGCGCAAGTGAGATTTCGTAATTATGTATAATGTTTATTAATTTCTTATTTTGCAACATATATAAAGTATATAATTAAGAATCGTTACATATAAACAACAATGCGCTATTTTATAAATATTATATATCGTGCAAAAATTGTTATGATATTAGTTATCTCTAAAATATTCGAATGAAAAAAATAATAAAAAGAAAAAAACACAGATACTTTAAATGTATCTAATATGTTTTAATAAAAGGATACATTCGATTAAAATATTAATTATCTTAAATAAACCGCTTTATAATTTGTATATATTTTCATGTATTACAGATTAACATCATGTATCACAACTTCGCTGTTGCGCATCGTACTGGTGAGTTCTATATTGTTTTTGTTTTTATCTCGAGATAAAATATATTTGTGAAATTTATATATCAAATATGTTTATAGAATTTTATAAGAATAAATAACACAAAAATGTATTTATTATTTATCTTTATATAAATTGTTTGATATCTGAGAGAGAAAATTTATTATTTAATATTTAATAAATAAAAATATTTAATTTTCTGTTTTTGATAATTAAATGCTTATAATTTTGAATATATTACTCAATTAGCAATTTTGCTAGAAATTTAAATAAAGAAAATAATTTGAAAATATTAGTAAAGCGAAATATTAAGTCAATATGTATAAAATTAAATATCAAATTAATATAAAGTTAAATTTTAATAAAAAGATTGTGAATAAAGAATATCAAGCAAACATGCAGTAAAAATATTCAAAATAGTTTATAATAAAATTCTATAAACAAGATTAAATTGGTTTGAAATGAGTATAATATTAACTTATTATTCATAATTATATGCATGTACTGCGGAAAATGAACGATAATAGCAGAAACTCGTTTCAGCTGAAATACTTTATGGTAGTTTTAGGATTATTGTAATTAATATTAATTACTAGAGCGCATTTTAATGTTAGTTAATATTGAATCTATTTAATTGCGTTCGGGACAGATTTCTCTCGGTACGCGCCTCGATATCATTGATTCGCGCAATCATAAAATGGCAATTAATAACATGAAATATTTGCACCCAATCTGTCGCGATAATTCGCGCTCTTTATAAACTAGTTGATTTCTTTGAATCTCTTACAATTCACGCATATCACATTATTAATAATAATCAATGTAGGAAAATTTTTTGTGCATTTTTTTTCTTCACAATGACAAGTGACGCGACAAATGACAGACATGTGTATTAAAAGAAGAGTCGGGTATTACACCTGTCTTGTCTCACCGAATGCAATAACACGGGAATTCCGATCCAACGATCGCGAAAGTATCTTCCCCTTGCGTTTCTCTTGCGACTTGTTCTACCATCGGGAACATAATGCCACGCGGAGCGGATACTCATAATGCCCGGCCAACTTGTTGAGATGTAGCCCGGATAGTGTTTCAATCGCCGGGCCCCCCCAGACCACGAGCATCGACAATGATACGTGCACATATGCAAAACGTATTACAATATTGGATAGCGGGGCTATGCATCACGATAGTCGAAATAAATCACCCGGCAACAAGTACCGACGTGTGGCTAAGGAAGTCTTAAATAATTTAGCAATTTTTCGACGCCACGACCTTAAGGTCACGTCGAGCATCGCGTAAATCCCTTTGGCTGTGGCTTTTAAGGCCCTTCGCTTTTTTCCCTCCTCGCAGCAAGTATTGCGCCGACGTACTGAAAACCGAGGGAAATCGCGTGTTTGCTCAAAAAAGCGCGTATCCCACGTACTTGTGTCCGCGATAATAAAGAGTCGTGCTTCGCGTATACCGCTGGAACGCTTCTCGCAAATCGAGCAATAAAACGTCGCGTACTGCGGCGAATATTATGTAAGCGTTTCAGCATGCAAAAATTAAACCTGTCCCTTTGCCTAGTTTACTCCTCTCGCTAAAAGCTCAAAAGCAACGAGAAAAATTTCTATCTTCTTTCACTAAAGAAATTTTAGTTCCCGGCGCGTTTCATCTTTTTTGTTTATATTAAAATTGGAGATACATAAGTTTCCATTTGCAAATGTACAGACTGCTGTCCACTTCGCTAAAATCAATATTAGCTTTTCTTCTCTGTGCGTACGTATTAACATTAATTTAAAGGTAAAGCACGCTACTATTAGGAAATTTTAGAAAATATTATATTTAGAAAGAGAGAATATAACGGTAAAAAATCAAAATTACATTTGATTGAATACCGTTGTTGATTTTCGAGCATGTAATTATCTCACGGACATATAGAATAAATAATTATCACATTGAAAAGCTATAATTTACTCGTTTATACGAGATTGCAACATGACATAACTAACATTGTGTCTAAAGACGATAAAATGCCACTTGATCTCTTGACTATCGCTCACGTGCATGTACGTATTCTGTGCTCTCTCCCTTTCTCTTCCTCTGCCTTTCTTCGCTCTCTTTCTTCTACCTACTTATAATGGCCAAACACATAATAAGGAGGGCAAAACGCGAGGCTGTGGTACGCGATATGTAGGACGGACAACAATGGAGCACACCTGAGTACGAGCCGGTGCGTTTGTGATGGCTTTGGGGAGGTAGAAGGTATCGCATGGTGCACCGGTATGAAATTTAGGGTAGGAGGAAAAAGAAAAGGAACGGGAAAAAAACGAGAGAGGGAGGGGACAGACTTGCATGGAGAAAGGCACAAGAAAAACGTAACAATGCTTTCAGCCACTCTGCTGCTGCTTCTTTTTCTCGTTTTTCTTCTTCTCTTCTTTCTCCTCCTTTCAACAACGGTTGATGCTACCCCGTGTCCCTTCTCCAGTCTTTCTTGTCGACGAGTTTGGGTGCCAATGCAACGCTCTCCGATTTGTTCGCAAAACACCGAATACAGGCGGTCACCTGGTATGCCCGGCATTGTTCAACACGCGTGTGCGTGACTTGTCTCACTTGCGTTTCTGTCTTCTCGCAGAGTCGATCTCGACAGAATGTTGCGTTCTTTTGCGGATGATTAATAGAATTCTCTGATACATATATATATATATATTTTTATAGTAATAAATGTCACTGTATTTAAGAACAAATGAAAAAATGGTCTCTTTAAATTTATACTCGTGTAGAAAATTATTTTACTAAATATAAAAGCTATAAGTACAATTTTTTTTTTGTTAAATTCATCTTGACTTCATTTATTTATATTCTTTATCTCAGGAATATCTACCTAATAGCTACGCAAGTGTAGCGTATTTAACTATATGATTCTTTAAATGTATTTGGCGTTATGTCTACAATTCTGCTTGACGCCGTTAATAACTTCCCTTTGATCAATTACTTCTCAAGTACTTTCGACATTAATGTTTTTCCACCGCTGCGAGAGATCATTAACCATTGCAGGCTCGCTGCTCCCGACATTAAAATTTAAAACGGCGGTGATATAATTACGAGCAGCGGCTGAGATTTGCTCTTGCTGAGAATTCTTCTGAATCGCCACTAATACCGTACTATGAAAAAAATTAATAGTTGCGTCTAAAAAAACTTTTATAACATACAGATACATATGTATGCATAGATATGTATGTGTATTTATTTGTGCATACATACATGCATAAATAAATACATAATGAATAAAAAATATTTTATGGGGTATATTCGATAGGATATAATATTTTTAATTGTTATTGAGATTTTTACCGTAGACAAACATTCTGATGTTTACGAAGCATGTTAAAATGTTTATGTATATCTACATTCCGCTCTTCAACAACATTGACTATGTAAGAAAAAATTCAGAGAGAAGTAGAAAAGAAAAAATGAAATATCTGCCTTCGTTCGCAAAAGAAACATCTATGTATGCATAGTCTGCAATAATATAATCATTATGCATTGGCATATCGTTGTGGCGACTATACTTAATTCTTGTAAATTATATTAATCCTGCTATTAAAGTCGCGGTGAATGAGAATTACTCGCGATGGAATGCTGTTGTAGAAGGAGAGTTCCACACATGCTCAAAGTGTACGCGGGATTCTCGGGCAAATCGTGTAAGAGAGACTGGACGTAATCTAAAGTGTACGTAACGAAAGAAGCTTTCACGCGGTATCGGATTATTGCTCGACTAAATAACTATCATCGACAAAAACGAACGTTGCTAATGAATCCGAGAGCCTTATGAAATCACGAGATATCTCAGTCATTCATAATTCGAATTCAAAAATGAGTTTTTTTTATTTGATAAAGGAGCTCAATCCAAGGAAGCTTTGATCCAGATTAAAGTAATAAAATTGTCATTGTATTTGCTTATAATATAACTTTTTATCTGCTAACGTATATTACTAGAAAACTTTGTTAGATATCGCTTACAATTGTTCTTTGCGCACGCAAGGATTATAACAAGAGAAAGGTAATCAAACCTCCAGTCTCTTAAGTGGCGCTCTTTTCCCTTCGACGGTGTCTCCTTCTTGATGCAGCGAGATAGTTATTTCCTGTCTGTCCATCCGTGCTACGTGACCCTCAAGGCCGACATGGATACGATATGAGTGATCTTGTCGGACGTAAGATGAAAATGCAGCTTCCTTCGATTAATATTTGCTTGAATTTATGATTCGAAATAAACGCACGTGTTGCGTCCGGTTACATTTTTATCGACGGAAGCTGTTATGTCATGTTATACAATGAATCTATATAAATCGCGTCGTGTACGGCTTGCAAGTACGAGTCAAGGGTTATGCGTCAACTTAAATAAGAGTCGGATCGCGTAACGGTGCTAGTTGAAAGGCTCTTCAATCCAAACGTCGTTTACAATTCTTTTTTCCATCCAGTCGTAACTTAACAGAATTTACGTTTATTTTAACTTGCGATTGTACGACGATCAATATAATCCTCGAAAAACTGCAAAGTGCAGTTACGATCGGTCGACGACACGGATTTCGTCGGTGAACAATACGCTACCACGATGCGTATATCGCGTGATGGTACGGTCATAGTTGATAGTAAAAATCGAAGCAACCTGATCCAAGGGACCAAGGGTCTGTTGTATAATGGGAAGGCTGCCCTTAACAATCATGTAAAAAGACGCCGGGCCGTTTTAGATTGAGGAATATTGAGGCATTGTGAGGCTGCACGGTCGGCATGCGTGTTCGTATGCGTGTGTACGTTACGTGCGTTGACAATGGGAAGCCCAGTGGGTGCGTTAATCCGGCGTGTGTGAGGCTGGACTGTGGGAATATTTCGTGGAGAGAGAGGAATAGAAGGAAAGAGAGAAAGAGAATGAGGGCGGCGGCGATGGGATGGGGGAGAGGAGGAGAAGGGTAAGGCGGTCTTGCCTCTATTGTTGTATCTCGGCGATACTATCTGCCGGTACA